TGCTTATTATAGTAATCTTCACTAGATATTTTTTCATCGCTCGGCTGCAACAGATGTTAGTGATGATGAAGCATTCTCCGATGATGACTTATGACTTTTTACTCGTAAATACGTTCCAATAATTCACAATATTTGAATGAATGAATGAATTACGGGCATTGTTACACTGTAACCTGCATAGATCTATTGTGACCCTCTGAATTCTGGGTGCTTCAGTTGGTAGGATTCTCAGTCAAAGCTACCACTTCATTCAGCTTAGAGCTTTTACGAACGCAAGCTAAATGGTTCTATGGATGGATTTTCTTCTTTCAATTTTAATATAAGCATGATTCGATAAATAACTTTTAGTTTTGTTCTTATTTTATCTCCGATTGGTTATTCAAGATACATAAAAATTCATAAAAAAGATCTTGATCAAGTCTTTTTACGTAATCCTCACCCAAAAGAAGATGCTCAACTACGAAAGTCGAAAATCGAACATTATAACATTAGAGAAGTGATATAGGGCCGAACTTATAGTCATTCCTTGGAGGTCGTGAGTTTAGAATAGACACTTGCTATCATTTGACAAGTTAGTCATGTCAATTCTAAACGTTCAAGGCTCCCTTCGGTTTGAGGAAGCTTCAAGGAGCGACTATAAATTCGGCCCATAAGCCGCTTTCGCAAAGTGTGATCCGATTTATCGGTTCGATCGAATTAGTGATCTCATCGTCCGTATAAAATGATCCGAAGTCGAGTACTCGCGTTTAGTAAGTAATCTTGTTGACTAGGTCTCCTCATATCGCCGATAAAAAGATGTAAAGGCGTATCTCATTTTTGCAACTTTTCAGATAATAATGATACTCAATAGAGAATTGAAAAATCTGATACCTAAATAAACAACAATAATGAGCGAAGGCCACTTCTTAAACTAAAGTATAGTGGTACTTGGACTGAGAACTGAAACAAACTTTGGTAAATAAGATTAAAACATCCCTATTCTTTAGTTTTATACTCGTGAGACCTATAAACAAAAAAGCTATAGATAGCAGCTTAAGAAACTGATTGAGGAACTAAATAATAATATTTGCCTAAAAAATAATATGCAAAAACCCCTATTCTTAGGTTTTACTTTTTTGAAGCAAAGAATTATAAAATTGCATGTACTCAGGTACTCTGATTAGCAGCGTTTCTCCAGAACAGAAAGCAATAATAATTAAATCATGCTGCTTCTCTGTTGATGTGGATCGAGGCCCTTGCTTTGAATTATTGAGTTTTTTTGATAGCACTGACTCGTTTTGTCGTTAAAAACTGGGATAACTAGGGTACTGATCCGAATGGCTTGTTTTAAAAGGTAGTTGGGGAATATTATCTTTTTGAACCTGACACTCAAGCATTCCGTCCACTTAAAAGGCATTCCCGTATCATCAGTTCGTATATAGATCGAACTCTGAGTTCTCAACTGAATTTTGGAAGAAAGTCATCGAGCCCAAATTGGACACTTGTCAAGGCTTAAACGGTATGGCCAGTCGAAATATTGGTATAAATTGGTAGGGTATGCTGACATTCACACCAAAGTAGCATGCAACGTGCGCCTTTCTGCTAGAAAGCAGGAAGCGCGTTGCGCATGCTACTTTGGTGTGAATGCTCACTAAAGCATACCTTTCACGTTCCGGTATGGCCTGCCGGCCAAAACGCACAGTTCTGATTTGAAGGCGGAATTGGAACCGCGTTTTTACCCTACAAACATTCGCCTGTACTCAACAAAATATCGTCAGTCTTTTTCCAGAACAGCACTGGTGCCAACGTTGAAATTGTACCACGATCGACTGGTAATATTGCTGTCTTTATTTCACAAAAGGTTTTGTTATAAAATACTATCTCCGTTTTCGATTAACCTCAAGTCAATTCCCGCCCTATCAAGCAGTCCCCGCGATGAGCTGCGGCATGCGCAGCTCAAAATATTCAACATGCTAAAAGATGACAGATCTTGCCGGAAAGGCCAAATCTCTATCGGGCCGAACACTTCACGTTGAGTTTTGAACTGAATCACCTGCTTTTTCAATGGCGTATGAGATTGCACTGTGTGAAGAGTCTGCTCCACTGTGCGCACTAATTTTTTGATTTTATGTGTGCGTCATACGAGTCTAGCATTTTCAGTGTTTTTTCAGCAGACCCTACAAAATAAGTTTTGCATATACGACATAGGTCTTTTTTGCGTCTATGAAAATATACAGCCTTAACCCAAGGCGACGCTAGGTCCGTCAAGTTAGAACTGCCTATTCAACCTTTCTGTATTTTTTGTGTGCTAATCAACTGTGCTCTTAGTGTGCTTTACAGTGCTTAACCGGATATTTGAAAAACGCCCGAATTTCAATTATCTCTAATAGAAAAAGTATATCGAATTGAAATAAGTCATTTCGTCACAACACTGAAGATATAGAATACGTTCATTGGTGTACTTAACTTAATTTCGGCCTATTTCGAGATACGCCTTTACGTTTTGATAGCCAGGATATGTGTATGTTAACATCGGCCGTGTTCGTTATTGTCATCTTTCTTGTCGATTTGCTCCGAAATTTTGACAGGCACGTGACTGGATCAGATAGCTTCAATCTACAAATCACGCGCCTGTCAAAATTTCGGAGCAAATCGACGTGAAAGATGACGAAAACGAACACGTTTGAACTTTTATTTTGATAAATCTTTCACCCGGCAACATCGCACAATGAAATGGCAGCAAATATCCAGTTGAGTTCCTCAAAATTTTGTAGAGGGCGCGAGTGAACTTGGAGTGCTTTAAATTTTGGCGGGAAATGTCAATAGTTTTAAACCGATTAAATTGATTAGAAGGATGATTACATATGAACAATGGACAATGCATAAGTTAAAATATCTTCCAAAGTGTTCAGTGGCCCTTAGAGAATATTTTCATAAGTGTCAGCATCAGCTTGTCTTGAAACCACACATCAAACTTAAGTTTTGAGGTTAAAATTACAATCGATTTTTTACGCGTCAAAATTTAAAGAGATCCAAGTACAGAAGCGCCCTCTTCAACTCAACTGTCAATATTACATGCCATTGCAAAGGAATATGTCAAGTATAATTTAACATAACCCTAAACGACACTGCGGTGAGTTCAAGTAATACGTAAAGTATTAGTTTGCTCTTTGTCGAAATACACGTTACAAAAAAAGAAGGAACGTTTAATTTTCAACTGGCCCCTGAATAAGAATATGACGCAAACCCGTAAGAAACTCGCTTCTCATTGGACGCTCACCTGCAACCCACGAGTTGCGCTCGCAGTCAAGGTAAAAAAAGATAGGTCTATTGTTTATTATACAAATTCTTATGAAAACTGCCAATAGGTGTCGCGGATTTCAATTTGTGCCTAAGGTCACTAAAACTAGATAGGCAAGAATTGTCGACGGATTTAGTGACCTTATTTGTGCCCGGTCCCTATAAGATGGTGTGTTATTGTGCTATTAGGGATGTAATTTTCTATCGAGCAGCAATAATATACCGGGTAAACCATTCAAAATAAGGAAGTTAGGGTCATTTTCGGTCAAACTGTGAGTGACAGAAAACAACTTATATTCAAAATAGAGAAAAATATAGGGGTGAGCCACCTTCTAGTATAGGTTTTATTTCCATATTGACCTTGTTCAGGTTTAGATCGAAGCAATAGACCTATCTCGCATGATTAGAAAAAGAGAGCTTAATTGTGATAAATACAAGTTAAAAAGTAATAAAAGATGACATGCGCGCGCAACTGAGGGCTGCAGTGTAGCCAGATTATATTGTTGCAGAACAGATGTAGATAATACAAATTGAACATTATAACATTGAAGAAGTGATATAGTGTCAAGTGTTTCACAACGCCTTAAATCAGACAAAAGTAGAGCTTTAAAGTGGATGAACATCGTTTGCACTTTTGTTTTGATAAATGTTTCATCTGGTAACATTGCTCAATGAAATTGCAAAGGAATATGTCAAGTATTAATCTAACATAACCTTAAACGTCACTGCGGTGAGGTCAAGTAAACTTGCTTCCCATTGAATGCCCACCTGCAGCCTACAAGCGACGCGCAGTCCAGGTAATAGGAGATCGTTCTTTTGCAGGAAACGAAAATTTGAAAAATCTTATGGTTGCACATAAGCACAAATAAAACATCAGGTATTTATTTTAAATTTTTATTTTATCGAATATTTATTAACACACTATACAACATAAAAATAACGATATAACAAAATTAACAAATAAATACTAGCTGAAAGGTAAACCTAGAATGCATTCCATTCACACAAAGTTAAGCATTAGGTACTTTCAGTTAAACTTTTAATTTTCTCAAGCTTAATTTACACACTATTCGCTAAGTCTTTTTCTGCATATTTTAAGAAAGGGAAGAATTTAAAAATAAAGTGTCTAAGAAAAAACATTCAAACGAACAACATTTACCTATATCAGTCATACACAAAGCGTTGGTCAGTTCCTAATATCCTTTTTTTTTTAACGCCTTCAAGTCGACATCCTTGTAGTAATCCTCGCTACAAAAATTAAGAATGATGTACATTTTTTTTGGTAATAGGTACTTTTCTAATTGAATAATTATTTTGTATCTTGAACCATATAAAAATAACAATGATCAAGTTACAAAATTAGGTAGTGGTTAATAATTATTAATAATGAGTTCTGATCAATAGTAACGGCCAATTTCATAATCAACTTAAAGTAAACTTTAAATTTAAAGCTCCATTTGAAGTTGAAAAATCCTATCCTGAAAGTCTATTTAGCTAAAGTAATTTTTAATTCTCTATTATGAAATTGGCCCTAAGAGTTAAAAGAGAAAATTTTATTATTGATAGAAAAAAAAAAACCCTTAAAACAAATATTTAGTAAGAGTTCATGCAAATGTATACCAATAAAAATAAAGGTTTATTACAACAAAAGTGAGTAGTTAAAATGTGCAGTTATTTTAGGGATAATGGTGAACACAAAATAGACAGAAGGGTCATTACAAGGAAACATTACTAAATAAAACACAATAATATCATTCCTATAATTTTTATTTATCATTTTCATGTACTTATTAAAAATCATATCAATAAAAAAAAATCAACAAATTCAAATATTTCGTGTTTTTTTTTTAATGGCAAAAATATTACACAAAATGAATTTTCAACTCATTGATACACTAGCCAACATAAATAAGTTAACTATTTTCTAAATTACTTATCTTCAACTTAAGAATATTTAAGGTGAAACTATTGAGAATTTTTTCTATTTTTATTTTTTTTTTAATTTTACTACGAAGCTGACCGTTATTTACATGCTGTTATTAATAAATCACAATAAGGTCAATAAGAAGAATGTTTGTAAAATCATTTTGATTCAAATCACCCATAACATTATGAGACGCAAACCACGCGAAAAATAAAACAGTCGGAGAAAAAGAAATTGAAAAAAAATCTACTACTTAAAACTAGTTTGAAGGTTCAGGGGCATTACGTGAGGCAGGTGCGGGCCTAAGGGATTTTTTAGGTTTATTGGCCCTGTTCGCATCGCTGGATTGCAGACCTGCCAAAAGTTCACTTTTGCGGATGCTCTTCAAGTCCAAGTCACCGTAGTAGTCCTCACTAAAATAGGCCCACGTTGGTTGGTTGATTCTTGTATTTTTATTTTAGGAGGGAAATTTGTTTTGAGGATGGATAAATCTCAAAAATATTAAGTTTGATTTGTTAAGAAATAGAATAGAAGTTTAAATTTCACTCTTTGCCTAGGCTTAGTGTAATTTCTTCAAGTCGATGCACTTTATTTTTTTTTCCTGGCGCCAAATGGTACTTTCACGCAAGATCGTATGAAATTACAAGAGAATTCTATTTTTGTTCTTTTTATATACAGTGTGCGCCATAAAGTTGGGTACATATGGGAAAATTCTTAATTATTCCTTTATTCAAAAAACTTTTTTTGGGGATCGTTAGGGCATGTTCGATAATTAAAAAATCGATTATGATACATGTCATGCGATTATCGGTTTAATGGAAATTTTGAAAAAAGTTGATATTGATGTCGAAAAACGGGTAAATTTGGCAAGATATCAAAAAATTTCATAAGAAAAAGTTGTTCAGAATCCGATAAGAACTCCATATGCCAGTTTTGAAGCAAATCAGAGAAAAAAATAATAAAACTACTTATTTTACCCGTACCATTAAATGGAAAATCGAAAATATTAATTTTATTTCAAAAATAGCTTTATTCAACTAAACTACCTTTTTTTGCGAAATACACACTTGAAGGTCATAAATTAGAGAATACCGTCCGGTCGTGTCGCTATAACTGTACCCATCTCCCTTTTTGCACATTTCTTGGTCATCAGAAAAATAACCTGACATGTGTCATATTCGATTTTTTGGTTATCGAACATGCCCTAACGATCCCCAAAAAAAGTTTTTTGAAAAAAGGAATAATTAAGAATTTTCCCATATGTACCCAAGTTTATGGCGCACACTGTACCTAGGTATGACTTCAAGTTTTAAAAAAACTGTTGGTAGTTACTACTGAAATATCAAAATTTAAGTTGCTCAAATATGACTCCTTGAAATAATGGAAATGCATCGTCACCTCTTGACGATAAAGGTACTCACGTTAAGAAAATAATTCGATTTGAAATCACAAATTTTGAGAAAAAGTGCTCAGACACTTGGTCATGAACAGCATTTGACGCCCTCGACATGTAAATATGCTAAAATAGAGTATCGTGCTTTCAGTGCAAAAGTCTCGGGCATTGAACGTTTTTTTACACCCAGATTTACAACAATTAATATTTTTGGAAATACCTTAGGCAAAGGTGTTGGAGTTAAACGCAAAAGCAAGGATTATTGGGATAACGTAACTGTACAGGTTAGTTTATGAAAAAAATATACATAATTATTTACACAAGAAAGTCGAAACAAGAAAATGAAAAATATTTACAACCATGTTAAGAAGGACTGAGAAATTGAGAAAGCTTACCATCCGGGAACATCTTCAGGGTCTTCGCAGTTACCAGTACCATCAGAATCACCAATTTTGAAAACAGTACCAATGGGGCATCCATATTCACGAGCTTGTCCTGTTAGGAAAGAATAATTAGTTTTGGTTTTCATTACAATAATACGTCTTTACCTTCAAGACAGATGTAGTATTTTCTGCAGTCATCTGGATGAGCGTGTCTGGAGAAGGAACCAACATTGCTTTCACCAGCTGGGCAAGAAAATCCTCCAGCTACCTCTGAAAATCATAAGTATATTATTTTCAAGGCAAGGTGTTGACTCAATTTCGAAGTTCATTTGACCATCATGGTGAAAGATTTTGAGTCAAGTTTACAATGTAATAATAGGTACTTATATTTCTAGAGTACCTACATTCATTCGCCCTTATACTCTACATAAGCTATTTGCTTGTAAAAGAAATGAAATAACTATTAGAAAAGACTGTATTGTTTTGCTATTATCTGTAGTTATTTTTTTTTTGTAATTCTTCTGGGCCAGCAAACTTTGGATAAAATAGCGAATTACAATAAAATATTTTCTTTAAAAAACTAATTTAAGACAACCAAAAAACAAGGGCAATATAGTTTTTATCCTATCTGGTGATATAAGTAATAATATACAAGAAGTAGAGTTTTTTTGACAAATTTATGCTAAGAATCTCTGCCATGTCTTAGAATTTGCGTCCAACAAATGAAAATCGTTGTCACGCGAATTTTTAAGGTACCATTGAAAAATACTTATCTTCCAATATGTCTTCCCTGTTCGATACATTTTATAATTTTTCTATAATAATTATTGAATACAAGGCGAAAAAAAGTTTAGCAAGTGAATGGACTCTCGCTAAAGAACTGAAGATATTATTTCTTCAAATCTTAACTTTTTGAGAAAAACTTTTACTATAAAAGAGAAACAAATGGTATGCGCTGTCAAGTAGGGGCGAGCGGCGAGCGTAGACGCGCCAAACAAAAAAGGTACCGAAAGGGAGATAGAGAATGAGACTGAGAGACTAGACCAGAGAGAAGAAGGTTGTCTGCCATTACTCATTATTCAATTTTTTTTTGTATTAAACTGATTGTTCAATTCAATTTGTGATTAGTTTGTGTGTCATAAGGAGTATTCACAGGTCAGTTTAATAAATGTTATTTTCTTTTTGAGAGTTCTATTTATACAAGTATTTTTTTTAATTTTCCTGTTTTTTTGTTTGTTTATAACATGTGCATTGTTCATGTATTTACGTGCTGTCTTTTGTGCTGGGATTTTGATTTTTGGTATTCAGAGCGTACATTAGGGCCTTGTTGAATCTACTTACATTTTCCTACCCTGACGAACGAATATCCTGGCAAACAAATTGAAAAATCAATCTAGAGATATTGGCTCAAATAACAACTATAGCTGAGTAGCCTCCCGTACGGGACCTCAGTACCTGCTGGTGAAACTGGCTAACTAACCAAAAACTCTTCGGTATTGAATATAGGTAATGTTAATTGAATGCAGTGTGTGTAATTAAAATGTTAGCACAAGAACAGGGGCGGTACCTAATTTAAACTTTTATTGACTCACAATTAATTATTAAAATGACACAGTATGTTTTGATTTTTGGGGAATGTTAGATCGAGGGTTGCCGTGCTCTTTTTTTCCTCGTTAGTTCCAGGTCGAGAACGGTACGGTAATAATGAAGTAGACGTTTCACAAATTTCTCGTTTATTTTACATATCACTTCTTCCCTCAAATTTCCCTAATTTTGCTATGTCGGGCGCATGGCAAGTAAGTAAAATTGAGTGATTTTCCACAACGTAGGTCCTATTTGTTTTTCATTTCATTTTTAAGAAGAATTGTTGTTTAAAAAGAGATTAAAATTCAAACCGTTTAAGCTCGCTGACCGAACCCGGGTATGTTATACTACAGTAGTCTAAGTGGATGCTTTGTCAAATTGGATAATGCCAAATAATATATTCATGTTTTTTTTTCTGAATATGTAGATGAGTAAAATACAGGGTGTACCATTTAAAACGAAACAGGCTGAATATCTGATGCCATGTTGTGTACGAGCGATTTAAAAAAAAAATAAAAGTGACATTAGATATTTAGCCTGTTTCGTTTTTAATGGTATTCCCTGTATATTGTGTTAAAGCTAAAATGGCTTTATCAACTTCAAACGTGCTTTCTAAGCTATCTTCGTACAATATTGTTAGTTTATCCAATTGTTTGAAATGCGAGTGACTTACCTTCATTTTTGCATTCTGGTACTTGATCGGCCCACATACAGACACGAGCTTCTCTATCATAAGCTAATCCAGGAGAACATTGGTACCTAGATGCTTCCCCGTTCCAACAGTTCCAGAATACGTCGCATTTGGCTTCATCGGCGAAGATACCGTAGAGTCTTTCACAGTGACTTGTGCCAATTGGTGGTTCTATATTGATGGAAAGAATATTTTCACAAATAATAATAGATAAGCAAAAACAGGTTTTTCCAATAATCTGTTAGTGGGAAGGAAATTTCAAATATTTTTGCGTAGCACTCATATTATGCAAGTTAAATACCCTTCTGAGCGATTGAGATTTACTACAAAATATGTACCAAGATAATTTGGCTGTCTCCTTTCATGTATTATGCCTGTATCTCAGATTCAGTTGGCCCTACGCATTTTTTGTATGAAGATATGTGAGGTACCTATATAAATATAGGTAGTCGCAAACCCTTCAAATCAGCAGTAAAACAGAGGGCTGCCTGAACAAACAATCGTGATATTGCTGTAAAGGAGAATGTTTGCAGTGATTTGAAGCAAAATCGTTGCACCTTGAGCACATTACCACATCAAGAATATCTAACAATAATTGTTAGTTATCCTGTGACTTCACCATAGAAATTATTAGAGGCTTGCATAATATGATAACACAGATGATTTTTCATTTAATTCGAAAAGGAATTCAATGGAATCTTGAGTCGGAGTTCACGTGTCTGTCATCATAACTCACAACTGGAGAATCGGAGGAATTGCTATAGAGCACTTACATACTTCTGCAAAACAAGCTCGAAGCTCACGTCTACCAAAGCAAGAATCTTTGACATATAATGTCAATCTACTTCAACATGAACTAATTTAGAGAAGGAATGGTCAATGGATACATTTAGCTACCACTTCCAGATTAATTAAATTTCGCATTTGACCCCAGAATTTGCAGTACCTATATGTGTTGCTATAAGCAAAAAAGGCAAGAGGCTTCACTCCGTATCATAGGGCTTTCGTCGTTTACTCTACCATCATTAGCGCAACATATTGTGGTGCAGTTTTGATACCATACCTTGCTTCATTAAATTATTCACAGGCAATGCAATGTGAGATTGATTTCAAGTAACAATGAGTCGACAAGGTTATGAATGCACATTGTTGTCTTTGGACAGATTTGAACCGACTCCTGTATTGATAAATTCAGTTCATTATATAGGGATAGCGTTCCTATTCCCAACATCATTCATTCTTCAGTTTTTTTGTTTTGTTTTCTTCTCTCTTTCTTTCAGGCTTGTCCGACTTATTGTCCTTATGTGCTTGACCTGTTTGCTTTATTCCAACCACTCTAGTATTTTGGTGCCCTGTACAAGGTTGGACAGGTCTTTTACTGGGTGGTGTTTCATTATTGGTTGCCCGGAAATGCTGTGTCTTCTACGTGCCTCGCAGTTTACCATGATGTGACTGGCTCTCGAGTTCCTTATTGCAGAGTCTGCAGCTGAGTTCTGCGTCATGCTAGTTCATTCTATTCAGGTGGATCTTTACCGGTGTGTGGCCTATCATCTTCTTCTTCTTCTTCTTCTTCTTCTTCTTCTTCTTCTTCTTCTTCTTCTTCTTCTTTCTCAATCCGTAGCTATCCACTCCTGGATGTAGGTCTCTCTCATATGTTTCCATGTCTCCCTGATCTGTCTAGGTCTCCAAACTGTTATTCTATGTGCCCATCTACCTTTATCTAATCTGGCCAGGTGACCGGCCCATTGCCATTTCATCTTAGCCACCTCTTTTATTATATCGGTAACTCTAGTTTGTCTTCTGATATCTTTATTTTTAATTTTGTTGCGAAGTGAGACCCCTAGCATGCTTCGTTGCATTGCTCTTTGTGTTGTTAGAAGCTTATTTGCAAATGCTTTTGTTAGACTAATTGTTTCCAATCCTTATGTTTGCATGGGCAGTACACAGGCATTACATACTTTGCATTTTAAATTTATAGGGATCATTCTGTTTTTAAAAATGTGCCCCAGTTTGCCGAAAGCTGCCCATGTCAATCTTGTGCGCCTTTCAATTTCCGCGTGTTGATTTTCCTTTCCCAGTTTAACAATGTGTTCCAGGTATATGTATTCATTTACGCATTCAATGTTATTATCTTGGATGTATAATGTTGATATCCTCAGAGCTCATTATTTTTGTTTTACTGTAATTCATGTTTAACCCAATATTCTTAGATGCTAGGTTTAATTCGTTTAGCATCTCCTACAGTTCCGTGACGTTGTTACTTACTAGGAATTTGTCGTCTGCAAATCTGAGATGATTAAGTCTTACACCATCTATATTAATGCCCTTGGTGTCCCAATCCAATTTCTTAAATATGTCTTCGAGGGCCAGCGTGAACAGTTTACCTATCGAAAGTTTTTTGTTCAACACTTTCATCCTGCAGTTATCCTTTATGGTTTCCTCTATACGTTTCGTATTGTACATTCCTTTGTCCTTTCTTATTTCTTTCTTGATCTACTTATTTAAGTCCATATATTCTTGGGTTGTTCTGTCCTCTAAGTTCCTTCTTCTTTCTAGCAGTTTTAGTGTGTCTTGACTTAGCTTTGCGTCTTTGTGCTTTTGTGTCCTTGTACATATCTTCTTCACAACGCTTGTGATTTTATCTGCGAGTTCATCTATTTCCAGTTGCTCCAGATTTATTTTTGTTAATTTTTGATGCAGGTCGTTTTGATATTCTGCTTCTTTTAGTTGCAGAACATCGCTAGTAGGATAGCGGTGTTTTTTAAGGAGCTTTTTTCTTTCATTTGCAATTTCAATTTCAATTTTTGCTCTCACTAGCTCATGGTCGGTCCCCGTATTAAATCTGTTTAGAACCGATACATCCCTACATATTGTCTTCTTGTTGGAAATGATAAAGTCGATTTCATTTCTGGTTTTGTTGTTTGGGTTGCACCAGGTCCATTTGCGTTGCTTTGGTTTTTTAAAGAATGTGTTAAGGCAATATAGGTTTTCTTTGTTTAGGTAATTTGTCAGAGTTTCTCCCTCTTTCATGTCTTTCGCCTAATCCAAAATTTCCGATATAGTCCGTATTTCCCTGTTTTCGTTTTCCTATATTGGCATTTAAGTCTCCCATTATTATTACGAAGTGGGCTTTTTCCATTTGGCGAGCTTTGGCCAGATCTTCGTAGAAACTTTCGGTCTCTTCTTCTTCTACCTTGCTTGTCGGTGCGTAGGCCTGGATGATTTGCAGACTATATCTCTTATTTAAGTTGATCGTTATATATATGACTCTAGGCCTATCATAAGGCCTGTTATAGTCCTAATGATCGGTTACTACTTATTTGTAGCAGTTCTGCGGCCCTTTTTTTAGACGGTTGAATACATGAACTTGCTTCCATGATTCTGCCTGGAAGTTGTCCAGTAGTGTCCATGTTCTTCATGAACCCAGTCTTTGATGTACTTTCTGGTCATACTTTTTGTTATCCCTAAAGCCGGCTCTGGTCCGAAGAGTTTTGTCACTGATCCTGTCTTTGCGAGTTCGTCCGCGTTTTCGTTGCCTTCGACTCCACTGTGTCCTGGCACCCAGATAAGTTTTATCTCATTTTGGTCCACCAGGGACCTGAGTTCTTCTTGCCATTCCCATACCAGTCTTGATGACACTGTTTGGCTCGAAAGGGATTTCAGTGCCGCTGGACTGTCGGACATAATAATGATCTGCCTGTTGGCTACGGCTTTCCTGTTATTCTCTGCTGCGCACTAGAGTATAGCATAGACTCCTGCCCCAGTACCAGCCGCAGTCTTCGACCCGTCCGTGTACCAGGTACATTCCTGATTTCTGGTCGCCGGTATGCCCTGTTCCTGACGTCGAACGGTCTGTTGAGGCAGTGTCGCCTTGGAATGTGGTCCGGCATTCTTCAGTACTAGGGACTCATCGCGTTAATGCTTTGATAATCGCTCAGTCCAAAGTACTTATCAATAAGAAAACAAGGGAGCGAGCTATCGAACCAGCTGACTGAGACAATCATTACATTGGTTATACTTTAATCAATAAGTTTCTGGAAGACTTACATATTAGCCTATTATAAAGTAAGATTGAAGGGGCTTTCTGTATTGGCTTAAAGCGAATCATCCGCAATATTTTCTAGAACTGGGAAGCCTATTTAGATTCCATCATCATGTCTCTTAACAGTATCACTATCTCTGGATTTTTCGACGCTTAAACAAGCCTATTCTGAACCCACAGCTTCTCTCACATTGATCGTACAGCCAGTCAGCGATAGCCCGTCATTAGTGTGGACCAGCTCTTATCAACCTTACTCGTTCCTATTGAAGAATCCATTCGCCCTCTGCATCCCTTCGCCATTGATTTGACATGATTGGCTTTGCAATACGTAAGTCTGCTATGCGGACGATATGGCTAGCCCAGCGGCGTTAATGTTTAATGAGCATTGTTTCAATGCTATTGGAATTCTCAAGGATATTGACATTCCTTCGGCGATCCTGCCAGTTAATTTGGAAGATTCTTCTTGAGCAGCGCTCGTGGTGTTTTTCCAAGCACCTCAGGTAGTCCAGGTTTCATATCGAAAGACAAATGTTGGTGTAACGATAGAATTGTAGACCCAGAGCTTAGATTGGTCACTTAAGTTGTCAAGCACCATTTTTGAGACACGTCCAAATGCTACAATGGCTCACTTTATTCTGTGATGAGTTTCTGCTTCAATATTTGATGACTGCAGAGATAAGGGATTTCTCATTGGTGATTAAAGCTGGACCTGGACAAAGGTTAATAGGTTGCCTGGTAAAGGTTGCCTTTTGGAGATTTGCATTATGTTGAGGCACCCCAGATGACGCCATAAAATTATCAAGCAACCTGCCTCTCTCAAACAACGTTGGACCTGGACCTACATTAGTATTTGGTGCAGGCTGGTATAGATTTTTTTCCAGTCCTATCCGTGTTAGGTTCTAGATGGATGATTTCGTATATTCTTCTTCTTCTTTAAGTGCCTTGTCCTCTTCGAACGTTGGCAATCATTAGCGCTATCTGCACTTTATCGACCGCTTTTCTGAAGAGACTTGTCGTAGTCTCAACATACCATTGTCGCAAATTCTTCAGCCACGATATTCTTCGACGCCCGGGTGCTCTTCTGCCTTTGATCCTTCCTTCTATTATCAGTTTGGGAAGTCTGTATTTTTCGTTTCTGAGGATGTGTCCAAAGTATTCCAGCTTTCGTTTTTCAACTTTGAGCATGACTTCGAGATCTTTTGACATTCCCGCAAGCACATTCACATTGCGCACTTTGTCTTCTCTCAGCATCCGTCGATACGTCCACATTTCGAAAGCTTCCAGCTTTTTACACATGACTTCTGTTAGAATCCACTCCTCAATTCCATAATAGAGGATACTGAAGACGTAACAACGTAGTACTCGAGAGCGAACGGAGAGCGACAGACTTCGACAAAACAATACGGGCTTCATGTTTACAAGTGATGCTCTGGCTTGTTCAATTCGGGCACGGACGTTCTGCATATTATCCCAGTTTTTGTTGACTTGGCATCCAAGATATTTTTATGACTTAACGCGTTCGATTTGTTGGTTCTGTACCTGTAGAATACCTCGTCCTTCCTCCAACTGGATTCTTATTAATGACCATCCATTTGTTTTTTTTGATGTTTAAACTTATTAAACCAAACTCTGCACTATTAGTTGCCACCTGGGCAAGTAAAATCTGAAGGCCCTCCAACGAGTCCATGATCATAACGGTGTCGTCAGCGTATCTAAGGTTATTTATGTTAACGCCATTATTGGAAATTCCTTCAGGGCAGTTTTCCAGGGCATCTTCGAATATTTTGTTTGAGTAGATGTTGAAAAGTAACGGTGAAAGGATACAACCCTGTCGGACACCTCTTTGGATTCGAACTTCGCTTGACATCTAATGATTTACCCTAATTTGTGCAGTTTGGTTCCAGTAAAGATTTGCAATTATTTTGAGGTCTCTATTGTCCAGGCCTACATCTCCAAGGATTTGCATAAGCTTTTCGAGTTGCACCCTGTCAAAAGCCTTTTCGTAGTCTATGAAACAGGCACAAACAGGAACAGAGACATCCCTGCACCTCTGAACCGACACTTGGATACTAAACAGCGCCTCTCTCATACCGAAATCCTTACGAAAAACCGAACTGAGATTCGCGCATAAAGGACTTGCATTTTGCATATATTCTTTTGTGGATGATCTTTAGGAAAAAGTGACCCATTAAGCTGATAAGCCGACAATGGCTACATCTTTTTGCCGTGCTCTTCTTTGGAACTGTTCTAAGTGTTGATTGAAATCAGTCGGAAGGAATGACGTCCGATCGGTAGACCATATTAAAAAGCTTCACAATCACGTTTAGTGACTCCTCGTTCTTTGGGATTTTAGTAACTTCCGAGTAAATTCCATCTGGACCTGCAGCTTTTCTATTTTTTGAAAACGAGACTGATGCATGTTGGACTTCTTCCTTAAGGCAGTTACACACGGACGTAGATGTCTGTAAACATGTACGCACATACATGAACGCGCAAACAAAAACATCAATGTGTATGCAAAATACCGTCGCGTTTTTGAATGTGCAATTTTGTATGCACACTCGGAATACTGTAGCAAGAATAGCAAGACTGCAGTTTTATGCGAGCGTCTGTACAAGGCGCCATGCACGTTGTTGTTTGCACGTTGATGTATGCACGTATATGTATTAAGCCATCCACGCCCGTGTGTAACCGCCCTTAGTTATATCAAGCCCTTCGATTGTACATTGTTCAGGAGTGTCCGATCTTCCATCATGATTTTGTATGCTGGCTTGAATCTTGAATGCATTTAGAGTAGTTTGTGGTAGATCTTCCTTAGTGTTTGCCAGGACGTTGTCAATAGCAAATTGAAGTTTACAAACCGTTTTTACAAATGCTTTGGTCTTGGCTAGAAATCTGGTAAGCTTAAAATCAATTCTATAGGAGTGTTAATTCAAGACAAAAATTCAAATGGTTGGCATAACGTCATCTTAAACAATTTCCTATTTATCAGCCAAACTTTTCGTGCTCAGATGTAAAAATAATAGTTTTTATTACAACTTTCGAGCCCTATAACTCTCGGATACTTGCAACATATCGTCCATAAACAATTTCTTCGATTAACTTTTTTATGTCAATAATAAATATTTAAATTGACTAGACAGATTCAGCAATGTAGAAATATTTTTCTTATGCAATATATTATATAATATACGATTACATATAGTTATTAGGCACCTATGAATATTTATTTATTCTTTACGACCTCAATCTGTAAGTTTATACTTAGTATTTCGTATCTGCTGATAAAAGTGTGATCTTTTTTTTTTCTTTCTAAGAAGCTTAGGAAGTCTTAACATAAGGAGTTGAAATAGTGAGAGAATTGAAGTATGTGTGAAATAAGTAAAATAAAGTAGTAGAGTAGTTAAGTAGAGTAGCTCCAACAACAAACTTACCAAGTTCTGCTCTGTCTCCACATTCAACATTATGGATGTAATCGCAGTTTTCAGTCAAGTATTTTGGATCGCTGGCATCGAACGCTAAACCGTTACCGCAAGTTTTTAATTCAGCTACGTTGTTATCACATTTCCAGTATTTGTCGCAAGACCGTGTGTGTGGGTAGAAACCGAAATCGTCGGGGCATTTAAAACTGTCTTGGCCATTGGCTGAAAATAACAAAATTATACTTATAGGCAAATTAATTATCAATATTTTGGTGAATTTTCGAGCTTCATAGAATCAGTTTTCAATGAGGGGATTACAAGTTAGTTCTACATGCCAAAATTCCTTTTCTATCACCATATTTGAAGCAATTTGCGTTGATTTACAATAACAATTATCATATATGAGTAGATAAAATATAAATGCCTGTCGTGTTCACATGTTACGACACCGTGAGCTTTCTTTTCATGAACCGCAAGTAGTAGGTTACCAAAATGAGGAAATTGTTCGGTCGTGGATATGACGCAATAAAGGCAAGTTACTGCAGATAATGTGATATTAATGATGATGATGAAAAGCTCATCAATAGAAACAACATTATTGTTAAACTATTCTATGTATGATTGAATTCGCAAGAGATTTTTTGCAGCACCTTAAAGCAGATATAGATCTAGATAATCCGGTCATAGTTTTTTATAACAGAGAGTAAAATTTTACCAAACATTAACATTCGCAAAATAAAAATCATAATGGGGAATATGAATAAAAGAGGCGGTGGGTGAGTAGGTAGGACATATTTGGGTCAGCATTAGTCAGCAACTACCTATGATAGGACGTCGAAATAGGTAAAAACAGACATCAATATGGACGGATTTTGTTAAGTTAAGCTTAATGCTAAAAAAAATATATCTCAAAGCGGGACAGTTTAACCATCATATTTCCGAAGCTAACATACGCCTTAGGAAACCAGGATATACTGGCGACAAAAAACAGTGATTAGAACAGTAAGATAATTATTGTAAGGAACAATATTGCTAAGTGTACAGTTATAGGAGAGACCAACGAGTGAATTCTGAACAAGCAAATCGGCAGAATTCGATATGACAAATTCAGAGAAAACATCAACGAAGATTAGACTCAAATTCAATTTTCATCCCTGAAGCCGTAAGGTTCATAATCTGATAGCCCTCATGTTCTGGTCCCAGTTCAACGAAAGAAAATCCTAGTAGACACCATGTATAATTAATGAAAAGGCTTCAAAAAATCTTACCGCTCATTAGTACAAAAAATATTACTAAGTGCGACTGATTAAGACATTCTTAGGTATCTACATTTTTTTTTTATAGTCGAGAACAGCATTCTTGAATGACTCGTTTATTGCGACAATAGATTTGCATAAGTCTATTGTGAGTAGGTATAAGAAAAAGACAATAATTACCATTGTGGGCTGGTACTTGGAGGATAGTCGCGATAGCAGCAGTCGGTTGCATTTCCTGCATAATTATATTCATATTTTGTATTATTTGTTTGAAGGCGGTTTCGTTGGGTAAGTGATTATGAATTGTATTAAAAATACCCATTTTTTACTACAAATTTTCAATTTAGGACAACGATAAATGACCGATTTATGTAGCGGAAGGATTTCAGTAAATCTTATCAAAACTTTAATTCGTTCCCTTTTAAAGATCAATAACAAAATGTGGTAATCGTTAAGAACATAATATGTAACCAGTTTGTAGCAATAATAATTTGGTTATACCATACGAATACAGGATTCCACTTTCCATTTCTGTTAACGCGTACCTTTTAAAATGTCACCGGGTTTGTCGTTGATAAATACTTCGAAAATGTCAACGAATAAATTAATAATAAATTGATGGGAAATTGAAGGGACGTTCACTCAAGCAATTTGAAATATTTAACCTTAGCCCAAGCCTCCAGTTATACCGAGAGTTATAGTGAACTATTTTTGATAACTAACCCAACGTGAGACCTGAATCAAATAATCTGATGCTAAAAAGCACATTGATTAAGAAAAGAAAAGATACAGAAAATGATTATTTGAGAAGTACGACCATATAGTTTGTAGTTTGATTTTAATAAAAGCATTGAAATTTTTCTTAGCTTATTCTATAGATTTAAGCGCATTACGCAACAAATGAAAATCTATACCTAAAAATCAACCTTGGCTATTAAATATCAGAGAGCCAACAGAAAAATAGAAGTTACTGAAGAAAGACTTTGTATGATAGAAGAAATAATGTAAAATTAATGTTGCGCAAGGAATTCTCATAACTAATGGTTTTCAGCCAAGGTGAACCTGTACAAAAAGTTAATGCAAATATTGCAAAGCTATTTCTAGTAATAATTTCTCTCTAATGTGGTTACCCATTACCTAAAGGTCAATGTCAGATTTTAAAAATTTCTATAAACTTGAACTTATGATGACATAGAAAGGTCCCAGGAATTAATTTCAAAAAATTTAACCTCGAACAGGGTACCTACTTTAATTAAATATTATCACTCATAAATACAATCTGAAAGTATCAACAGGTATGTATTTTTCATTATTGCCATATCCTTCAAATTTAAATACCAATAATTACCTTCAAAGTAAAAGCTCTAGAAATTAAAAAGCACATTCTGCATAATAATTAATATTATTTGGATGATACTTCACGCTACGCTCATTTGGGTTCGCTTTCTGCTGTAATTGGTTCCGTTCATATATTGCCCAGTCGGTTATGTTTGAAATTGAAATTGGTTCTTCTCGAAGACAATTCGTTATGGGTTGTTTCGTTATTTCAAAACAGGAATACGCCATTCCTTTCAAATAATTGACTGTTCGTTGAACTTGACTTTGGACACACCCGATACACTAATTGAGTTTAAAATTATTGTTAAAAAAATATACAGTTGAGAATATTTATGCAAGCCATTGTGGTTACAACGGTATAAATTATATTGCAAAATGAACAAAGGTTACTAAAATAAATTCTATGGACCTATGGCCATTGGACACTACTAATAAAGCAATATCAGATTTAGATTTTTTTTGGTTTCCTTTCACTTAACGTTGCAAGTAAGAATTTAATAATTATTGTTGAAAAAAAGATTAAAGTAATTTCAAAAAGGTAAAAATTATTATAGCAAAGAAAAAGTAGGTATTATAGAGCACCTGAAGTGTAGCAGAATGAATTTGTAATAAATGTGCAATAAAAGTTAATGCTGCTGAGTGAGAAAGCAAAATGCCTCAAAATATTGACAATTGATGTTGACGTGGAAGTAATTTCTAAGTTTCTCGATGAAGAACGAAAATAAGCATATATGAAACATACAAAACTTTTTTGCAAGAAAGAGTGAGGTTTCATGAAGAGATGACAAAATGACTTGCTCCTAATGGTTTTTGTTAGAAAGTGACAAAATTAATAATAGGTCTGTTAGCACAGCAATGACAACCCAGTCAGAGTGAATTCCATTGGTTGAAACCAATTTTCTGACTGTTTCTGACTCTTCCCAACCAATGAAATTCACTCTGACTAGTTTGTGATTGTTGTGCGATCATGCCTAATATAGTAGTCGAGGGAATAGCTGTGTTGCTCGTCGAATAGTCAGGAAAATCAAACCAGAGTATTTCGAGCAAATTTATTTATTAACCGGCCATCCTCACTCCTCAGTGCTAACTGAAAAGAGAGGACAACAGGTTGTGCTCACTAGTCAGTTTAAATGTACAGGAAGCACTGAATGGACAGGACAATCACAGTCAGTAATTATAAAATATTACAAATTGTAAAGGACTAGTTACATATTTCAAAGTTGTAAAGGTACATAGATACTTGAAATCCCAATATATTAAAAGGGGGGTGAAAGCATTTCCCTCATTGCATTTTTCTTTTTCAGTTGGCCTGAAGAAAATAGTCCAGTTGAAACCAGAGGTTGAGAAAATAAAAATTAAAAAATTAGAAAAAGTAACAGATTTTTTGAAAATTTTGAAAGGTGTCTTTTCATACCAACTTCCAAAGATTGAGTCGAGCAAATTTTTAAAAAATATATTATTTGTTTTAATTTCGTGGGTTAGAGGACAGGACCAAAAAAGAAACTATCAAGCTTTTGGCAACGTTTCGGAATATATTTTTCCTTTTTCAAGCCCTGGAAAAGGGAAATACAAGCACTTAGTACAACAATAAATATACTGTTGTGAGTTAATTACAACTTTTAAGCCAAAATAAATAAAAAAATAAAATAAAATAAATTGTTCCTTTCAGTACTTACTTAAACTATTGCTTCTGGAGTCCGTTCAGGATGGACAAAGGCACTTCTCATCATAATATTTAAGGGATGCAATCATATTATTATCACATAAATATTATGATGAGAAGTGCCTTTGTCCATCCTGAACGGACTCCAGAAGCAATAGTTTAAGTAAGTACTGAAAGGAACAATTTATTTTATTTTATTTATTTATTTATTTTGGCTTAAAAGTTGTAATTAACTCACAACAGTATATTTATTGTTGTACTAAGTGCTTGTATTTCCCTTTTCCAGGGCTTGAAAAAGGAAAAATATATTCCGAAACGTTGCCAAAAGCTTGATAGTTTCTTTTTTGGTCCTGTCCTCTAACCCACGAAATTAAAACAAATCTTTGCAAGGACACGAAATGATCACACAAAATATATTATATACATATATAAAAAGGGTTAGTTTATGTAATCTATGTAAAGTAATACAAGATCTGTTAAGATTGACTTGTATATTTAGGCAAAAGGAGTTACTTATTAGCTTATTAGATATGTAAATGTCTTCAAAGAAAGTCTATGCGATTGTAGTTTTCGGAACTTTTTTGGTAAAGAATTCAAGAATTGGATTCAGGGCTGAAGTGGATCTTATATGTTCACCAAAAACAGAAGTGGGTCTGTTCAAGTGTTCCACAATCCTTGTCTTGAATGGTCTACGAGTACGTCCTACATAAGAACAACTGCACGAATCGCATTCCAACTTATAGATACCACTTTTGGCTAGTGTGTCAATTTTATCCTTAGTGTTGACCAAAAATGAACCAAAGCTATTATTGATCTTGTAAGAGATATGTAGGTCACTGTGATGTTTGAGAAAAATATTTGTTTTTTTTTTTATTAAGGAATGAATGGGACTGAAATATATTTATTTACTTGAAGTATGTTGGGGAATATTTCTTTTTTAAGTTCATTAAGTTTAATTTTGTTGA